GAGAGAGAGAGAGAGAGAGAGAGAGAGAGAGAGAGAGAGAGAGAGAGAACGAGCGGAACATGAGCTTTCCCTTCGGCCACCTGCCATTTTATCTCAGCACTGAGGAAAGAAACTAGTACACTGTTTATGACAGTGCTTGGCTCTTGCAATAAAGTATTTTATCCATTCATAAACAAATCCTTCCTATCATAACTAATAGATGTGGTAAGAGGTTAGTTTCTGTCCTATCGTTAACATATCCAATCAAATCTGTCATATTAGATTTCCATTCATTGGGGAGTTAGAGAGCGGAAAATCTCTCATTTGTTTTCATAAATTCTGCCAAGTGGACATGAAGACTTGTGGTTTATCAGCAAGAACTTGTTCTGATAGCTCGGAGCAAATGTACTCCATGGGCAGGTCATGCGCACACCACAGGAACACAAACACATTTATGCTTATAGGTCACTGGGACCAAGTGAATGTTTTCATTGTGGTTTTGTTTAGATGGATTTTTTTTTTTTAGATTAAAAGTAGGAAATATCCAGATCAAATGCTGGTAGGATCCCAGGCTCAGAGCAAAAGTTGTAAAATGATTTTCGCTGCAGACTAACATAAGCAACAGGACAATCACTCCATTACTTAATTCCCCAGTGTGGCCTGCTCACTTTCAGTATAGTGTTTGAAGTTTCCAATGGGAATTTGATTACCTAGGATAAGAAATCACAGAACTGGGATTTTAATAGAAACCACAGTTATCTATTCAGTATATTGCCTAAGACATAATCATGAGCCAACACACAGAACCAGGAGTGAGTCATGTCTATTTCTTTCATTGTCTTGTTGACTTCTAGACATAATCCAATTTTACATAAGAACGAACCAATTCTCCCAGAGAGTAAAAATACCATGGTCAGATTTATGTAACAGTTGATGGATCTGGCACTGGACATGAAGCCCATGGAATGCCAAGACCTCTTCTGGGTACATTCTTCTTGTCCAGGCACCGCCCAAGTTTTCATATGTGTTCAAGGACTGGTATTTATAAAATAACAAAGTTCTGGAGCTGGGTTACACCTCAGTAGGAGAATACGTGCCCGGCATGGTTCACTTCCTGTGCCACAGAGACAAAATGGCACAAGGCTTCTGACTGGAACATTGCTTGGCTGAGGAGAAACTTTTAAAATCCCACATTTTCTCTTAATGTCATTTAAACTAAAGCACTCTAACTTCAAACAAGTAGGAAGGACAAAATCCAAGAATAAAGTTATTTTTTTTCTTAAGAAAGAACAAATAAAAATCTCTCTCTTCTTTCCCAAGACACACAGGAGAATATTGTTTTAACGCGTGTATCTTATCAGTCCGCAGGTCATTAGGGTTCAAGACAGGTTGTCTTGGCTTGCTTGGCTACACCCTTACTTTTCTTTCCCCATCCAAGGCTCTGCTTGCATTGAATTTTTTTTAAACCTTTTAAGTTGTCATAGCAGGAAATTGAGGCATAGACATTGAGAGCTGAGGTTGAAAATATTTGGTGTTTTCAAGTTTCAAATCACCCAAAAAGCGACTGAGGTCCTTGAGTTAGGAAAGCTATGAGGCCATGACGTCACAGTCCATGGGAGCGTGTATAGGAGGCAAGAATTAAGTTCTGGTGCAGGTGTGACGCAATGCGGCACTGGGGAAAAGCTACTTTAACTTCAGCCATTCTTGTACCACAGGACCCCTCTGGGCTATCATCAACTGCAAACCAAAGCGAGAAAGATTCCCAAAAAGAACTAGACACAAAAGAGTGAGATGTCAGTACAGTGACAGACAGGGCAGAGGGGTGGTGGACATTGTCAGGGACAGACACCCCTGCAAGAAGGGGCTCACTTCCCAGCTGCTTGACAGCAGTTACAAAACACTCAGGCAGGTGGGTTCCTGATGTCGATCTACAGACAACCTAAGAGAATCCTGATATCAACAGCAAACACTGGAGAGGCTCATGGCCTATTACACCAACATTCACATCTTCTCCCTGAGTGGTTCTCATATAATAAATTTTTCTCTTATTTCCAGAAAGAGAGAGAACACGCGAGAGAGGAGAGCAGCCTTCTGTAGAAAGGAAACGGCAATGTTTGAAATCACTCACCGTTAATCCTTGTCAATCTCCACATTCTCCTTACTTCTGAATCTGTACTCTCCAAACTAAAATCAAATGGTGGGCCGTTCACTGGCTCATCGGGATCTACTGCAACAATTTCAGCGGAGGACATGGTGGCCTTACAAATGACCACCGTCTGCTTGGGTATGAAGGGGCCGTTGTCATTCACATCTTCAAGAACAATTCCCAGAGTTCCGGTACAGCTTCTCCCAGCTAGGCATAGAGCAATAAGAACACATCTTTTTAATGACTTTATTTTTCGCTAGAAAATCACACACTGAAAATTAATATCTCTACTAATCAATTACAGTGCATAAGTTACCACAACAAATGCAGACATGAACAGTGACACAGGGACTACCAAAGGAAAAATCTTCATCCACTCACTATGTCATTACATTAGGAATGGAAAATTTTAGACATAGAAGTTTTAGTTGATGTTAAAGAGACAAAAAGAGAGTGCAGTAGGGTACACAGTACTCTTCAAAAGCAGGTAAATTCAAAAGCATGTCACGCCCACCCGTGAGGGGGAGAAAATGGAAAAAGCAGGCAGGTGGGAGCTGACATGGACGAGAACTAAGGACCTTGGAAAGCCAGAGCAGAGAACTTGGAGTTTAGCATACATGAAGAGAATGTTGAAGGTTTTAAATCAGGGAACCTGAATAGTAGAAGAGATGTTTTTGGGACAATTTTAACAGAAAATGGTTCAAGGACATGTTTGAAGGGTGGAGGGATATTTCCAAATGTAGAAATTATCACTGCGGGTGTAGCCTCATAAACAGCAAGTCATCTAAGTAAACGGAACTTAGGACTGAGGGTGTAACTTCTGTAATTAGCCTGTCATACAGACATAAATCTTCCTGATAACTCTATACAAGGTACAGCACTAGGAAGACAAAGATGAAGCAATCGAAGGTCTGGAAGGTTATGAAGTCTAAAGCAAAACATAAAAGTCTCGAAACCATTTGTTCTGTCTACTTAATGAGGAGGATTTGGACATTAGAGAGGGAGAAAAAGGAAAAACAAAAACTGTACCACCCAGTGCCTGTGGCCACATCTTACATACAGCTGTCAACCTAAGACAATGGAAACCAAGCTTGCCTGGCACCCAGAACCTTAACCAAGGGCCCTCTGGCACAGTGGCTGGATCATGGGAGTTCCGGGCCACCACAGACTCACAGGCTAGGCGTGCCATGCCTAGTATACCTAAAATCAGGTATACTATTTAATTCTGCAAGTTAGAGAATAATGAATTACGCTTATTTAATTGCATGTTCATTTTACAAATGTAAAAATTCAATTATACCTTTTGGTTTTCAAGGGTTTTTCTCTTTTTTTCTTTTCTTTTTTTTCCTTTTTTGAAACAGTGTCTTGGGTATCTCAGGCTAGCCTTAAACTTACTATGTAATTGAGGTTGGCCTTGAATTGATCCTGTTGCCTCCAATACCCAAGTACTGAAATTTTCAATATGTACCATGCCCAAAGAAAGATATCTTATAGCAAAATTACATTTTATATACTGTATGGGTCTTATATACATAATCTCTGTGTCTACATTTTTATGATTTTTCAGGATGCACAATATATAACATATTTTATGTTCTTCTATGGTGTAGACTTAGTTTTATTTGTCAGCTTGTCATGGTGTAGATAAACTCACAGTGGCCTGTGGGCATGTCTGGGAGGTTGTCTTGACTACCTTAATTGAGCTGAGAAGACCCAGCTACCCAGTGGTGACATAAAGCCTGGCCCATAGAGGAGTGGAGAAAGCTAGCTGAGCCCTGAGCATCTGGGCTTTCATTCTCTCTGCTCTTGACTGTGGACACAAGTATCTGCTTCAGGTTCCCGCCTTAACTTGCCTGAAATGATGAACTATAACCTGGAATCATAAGGTTAAACCCTTTCTCTTCCAAGTTGCATTTTATCCGGTCATTTCACCATAGCAACAGAAACAAGGGGAGAATATGTGAACACATACTTTGATCCTCTCATTTTATAATGCACTATGAATTGTGACTGGTTTAATTTTGTATAATGTGCTTAGTCGGGAATCTAGCCCTCAAGTTTGCTATTAGCTTCCTGTAAAATGTTCTGTTTTCTAGAAATGTACTAAGAGGCTAAATACCTTCTTCCTCTTATGACTCTCCTGAATGCTGCAAGATAAATAAATACATTTTCGACAGTAGTTTTTCCAGGTTTTGCTATCATTAATATATTATAACTTTGTTTCTTAGAAAAATTAACTTTTCTTTTCATCTTTATTGCATTTGCTTCATTAGTATGAATGACAGTGGAGGTCAAAAAGACAACGTTTAGAAGTCCATTATTTCCTTTCACCTGAAGATCAAACTGAGGTCATTAGGCTTGGTAGCAAGGACCTTAACCAGCAGAGCCATCTCCCTGGCCTCATCCTAGACCACATTATCTTACAACTGCATCTAATACTAAAGATACCATTAGTTGACAAGAGTTAATAAATGACAGAAAACTTAATTTATTAATTGCTCTCTATGTTATACTGGGGAAAAATAAACTGAGAATATATATGGAGCCAGTTTTAAAAATCTATGTTTGGTAGGCAGGACAGGACAAACAGCTTCAATCACAGCTCTTGGAAGTAGTTGCAGATGCATCACTGTGAGTTCAAAGCCAATATAGTCTCCATAGAGAGGTCCAGGCTTGTCAAGGCTACACAGTAAGACCCTATCTCAAAAGACGAGGTATGCTCTTGGGTTGAGGTAGCCAAGTGTTTTGCCTAGCAACTGGAAGACTCAGGTTTGATTCTGTGCACCACGAGATTAAAACATAAAATATGGAGGAAGTATACAATCAAAGAAGCATCAGCTGACTTAAAAACAAATTTCTTACCTGCATCTAATGCAAGGACAGTAATATTATAGATGCCATTTCGGATGGTTTCAGCCTCTCTATCCAAGGTTCGGGAAATGGAGATTGATCCTGAGTCTTCATTAACCATGACCCACCCTCTTGGGTCACTTAACTTCCTGTACCTATTCATCATGGTGAAGTAACACAGCAAGAAGTATCATAAGTCAAATCATAATGCCAATAGCAAAAGAAGTTATGGACTTTTCTAGTATTGAAAGTGTGAAAGGAACAAGAGTATAACGGTACCTGATGCCACTGCTGCTTCTGGTCTCAGGGTCGTACGCTGTATACCCATTGTTTCTGGTCCCAACTGGCACATTTTCTCGAATCCGCACAGTTTGCACTGGAGGGATACACTCAGGGCCCTCATCCAGATTTTTCACGGTGACAGTCACTGTAGCTGTGCTCATGGGTGACCTTGCACTAGCCTCTCTAGTGTATGGGGCTTCATTAACTACCCCAATTTGGAGGCTCACCCGTTCTCGTTCTTCATAGTTCAGAGGCTGTAGGAAATGTATTGAAAATCAGATTAAACCCTCAAAGAGCTGGTGAAATTCCTTACGCGTAGGAGTTGCTGAGTTGGAAATAGGTAAGTTCCAGGCTGGAACAATTGTGAGAATATTAAACACAGGTTTGAATCATGCGCGTGGGGGCGGGGTCTTTCAAACAAGTGAGAATTTGGATGAGACTGGCAACAAACAAAAATTGTTGAACTTTCCCTTGAAACTTGAAAAAGTTGAAAATTAAAAATTTAAAGTGCAAGGTATCAGAGATCGGGATACGAAGGTTAACTAAGTTCCGATTTCGGGTATGGACTGTAAGTTATTTTACACTGGTTACTTTAGAAAAGCTTGTCTCAGACTCTTCAGAAGGACAGTTATTTACACTAGGTTTGGAAGTGAAAAACTGGGTCAAACGTTAAAGAAGTTTTTCCATTTTGGTTTCATTTTGTTTTGTCTCCTGTATCCAAGATTGGCCTTGAAATCACTTGTGGGGCCAAGAATTACAATAACTTCTCATCCTCCTGCCTCCACCTCCCAAATGCTGGATTTATAGGTATGTGGCACCATGCCCACTTTATGTTGGTCTAGGATTTGAATCCAGACCTTGTGTATGTTAGACCATCACACTACTACAGCCCCAGCCCTATAAAATGTTTATGAGTGCTGTGGGGATGTGCCAGCCAGCCCTAATATGGTGGTACTGTGTTATCGCCTGCACAGAAATAAACTGCTCCATCCCAGCCCTTAGTGACACTTGCCCCAGAATGCTCAGGCCTGTGTAATAATTTGCACATAACTCCCCTATGAGGGCTAAAGAAAATTGATATGGTGCCATATTAAGGTGGGATGAGAATAAGATCATGGTGCTCCCGCTGTGAGATATGAACTGCTTTCCGTTGGCTTCTGTAAACCTGCTTAGCACTGCAGGACTGGGATGAAGTGGTCCTTTCATTACTATGCGGTGGAAAGAGAAACAACTGAGGGCAGCGGTCGATTCCATAGATAATTATAATGTAACCCTTAATATCCACCTATAAACCCTCCCTTTGGGCCTTCAGCACGGCATGCTGTTTGACTCTAAGGTTGCTGTCCTGCTAGCAGTAAGAATAAATTCATTTAACCTAAATCTAAGTTGAGTCTAAGTCTTTGGCCCTTTCCAATGGAGTTGAACACTACAACAGTGGAGAAACAAGAATACAGAAAGCTTAGAGACATTATTTGTTCCTTTTTGAAATCTTTTCCTCCAAAGTCAAGAGCAAGTATCCTTTAATCTGCCTGGTTGCTGAAGGAACAGGAGCAGTTGACAGAAATGACCCAGAGATAAAGTCTGGTGCTAGGACTGTGGTAACAGTGGGGTCAAGGAAGACATGGGATTTAAAGGGCTTTTCTTTGTTGTTTTGAAACAGAAACTAATCCAGAAACTGAAGCTAATTTGTGTTATTGGGAGGAAAATGGATTTATCATCTTTGATCCACAGTCCTTGAGAATGTGTACAAAAGGAAAACACTCTAGACAAGTGGTTCTCAACCCTCCCAACACTATAACCCTTGAATACAGTTCCTCATGTCGCGGTGACCTCAATCATAAAATCATTTCATCGCTACTTCATAACTGTAGTTTTGCTACTGTTATGAATTGTAATATAAACACCTGACATGCAGGATATCTGATATGCGACCACTGTGGAAGGGTTGTTTGATCCCGAAAGGGGTTATGACCCACAAGTTGAGAACACTGCTCTAGATCAGGATGGAATTATGTTCTACTTAATGCTGCCATCTAAGCATCTAAGGTCGAAACATCCGGGTTGCTTCATGTACCAGGTCTGGCTCTTATGTACAAAATAATATCAGAAAGGTGTTTTGGAAATGGGGACATCACAGACCACTTGAGTCGCATGCTATGACCCTAGATGATGAGACTGTACTATATACAAGACACAGAACAATAGACCCAGTGATAGTCTCCCTTTGGGTCTGACCAGCTATGACTCATTTAAGAAACTCATTAAGTACTTACTCCTTGCCCTGGAAACAGAAAGAATAGTCTGTGAACTATTCTCTCTGTTTAGATTGGCTCTGTCCATTGCTGTGAACGCTATGCTAAGTTTTAAAGTGTTAAAATATATGTTAGAAAATGCATACTATGCCGCACGAATAAAACACAAATAAACACATTTTAGAATTATGTCTTTGTCAAGGCTATGTTGGTTAGTTTCTCCAACTTCCTACAAGCTAGAGTTATCTGGGAAGAGAAAGAACCTCAACTGAGAAAATGCTTCCATGAGCCTGGCCTGTAGGAAAGCCAATGGGGCATTTTCTTGATTAATGATTGATGTGGGAGGGCCCAGCGCACTGTGGGTGGTGCCACCCAAAACTAGGCAAAAATCAATAAGCAGCGTCCCTCCATGGTCTCTGCTCCAGCTCCTGCCTCCAGGGTCCTGCCTACTTTGAGTTCCTGCCCTGACTTCCTTTGGTGATAGGCTATGAAAGACACGGAAGTGCAGGCATGGAGAAACAGCAACTTCCCTCCTGGCTGACTTTTGCTCCTGATGTTTATCACAGCTATAAAAAGCGAACTAACAGCTACTCACAGTGAACATGCTCACTCCATTTAATACATATGGATAAAATAGTATAACTAGCTATATTATGTATTTCATGTCTCCATTAACCAGAATATCTTTCTGCCCATTAAATCTTTGCCTGCGATTCTATATTATAAGTCACAAACATCTAATTTACTAATTAATCCTTACCTTAACCACACGCAGAATGCCTTCATTGGTTTTGGGATCTGTTACAATTTGGAAGTTTCCGTTTTCGTTGCCCTTTAAGATGCTGTAATTAGCTCTCCAGTTAGGAGAGTTAACTAAATCTTTATCCTGGACAGTAAGTCGTAAGATTTCCACATCAACTGCATTTTCTTCCACTGATGTCTCATACTAAAAGAAAAGAAAAGAGAAAAGCTTCATTAATAATCATCACAAAACAAGATCATGCTTGTTTTGTAAGCTCATGCTTACAAATCCCAAAGCACCATGTTCTCATGTTTAAAACTAACCCCAAGCTACTTTCACTTCATTGTGAGCACTTCACGCCAAACAATGGGACACAAAGAGACGTGCACACTTTAAAGCTGACAGTCATGCATTTCTCTCTAATAAACAGCGCACACTCACCACAGCGCGAGTGAAGGTTGGCGGGTTGTCATTCACATCTCCAACAGTAATGATGCAGGTTGCTGTTGCCTGCAAACCAAAATACTGACCATCCATGTCCTGTACCTTTATTTTCAACTGGTATTTGTCAATTAACTGAAAACAAAGAAAGCGTAACTGTTAGACAAACACTGTGGAGGGCCGCAACCACATTCTCCATTGCTTCAAGGAACAAAGGTAGAGATTGACCTCTGTGACCCCAAGGTGTGGCGGTACACGCCTTTAGTCCCAATGCCTGGGAGACAGAGGCCGATTGGCCTCTGTGACCTCAAGGCGTGGTAGTATGCGCCTTTGGTCCCAATGCCTGGGAAGCAGAGACAGGCAGATCTCTGTGAGTTCAAGGTGATGTAGCACACGCCTTTAATCCCAGCGCATGTGCTTGTTAACTCTCTATCGCTGCGTCCCTGCCTACTCCCGAGGCATCATCTGGGATAATGGGCAGCGGACCAATCCAAGAGTGACATGTCAGAAGCGAGGACTGTTTCCTTTATAAGGGTTGGGTTCCCCTCATTCTGGGTCTCCGCCATGTTGGCTGATGTTCGCTCTCCCAAGGGGCATTAAAGCTTTACTGTAGAAGGATCCTAAGTGCCCCGCGTCATTCTTGCTGGCGAGACGGTAGCGCGGGACAAAACACAGCCTCTTTATAAGTAGAACCATGACTCTACCACTCTTCTTTAGGGGAATATTGCGATGTTTAACAGCTGTTACATGCTAGAGAAAGAGCCTTGCTCTAGTATTGTGCAATAAATATATGAAAACTAGTCAGTTCTCAAATGCAAAGTGCTGTCAATTCAAGGAACCTATAATTAGTTAGCTTTACCAACTTTCAAGAGGGAAATAAGTGTCACGAGTGCATTCAATATTCCATTGCAAGGCAGAAAATGTTCTATGACCCTCCAGAGCACATTTTTACATTCAAAGGAAGAATAGCTAAAGTGAGTGCTCCTCTCCTCTCCAGCCACCTTCATGCCATGGCTTCAGTTCCTGCTGATCTTCCCTGTCTTCACCCATTAGCTATGCTACTCGCATGCACCTCCTCAGTGCCCCTCTCCAGTACAGCCTCTTCTTATGTCTGCAGCTTCTTATGTCTCACTTCCCCTGACTGTCCTTACAAACCTAATGCTGCTGTCTGTCAGGAGGCGAGCATTTTCCTTTGCATCAAGGTGCATTGACATTTATCAGAAGCAGTCAGTTGATGGGAAAGCAAAAAAAAAAAAAAATAAATAGGCTTTTACTATCCTACAAGGCTGATTGGTGTTATCTGCAGTTGAAAGAGAAACTGCAACATTTAAGAAGGCTGAACAACAAGTGAAAACTAGAAAACCGAAATCAAAAAATTACAGACAGTAAACTCCTTCGTATGTTCAATGTTTATAACTGTTTCTGCCATCAACATTCATTTACTTTCTGAAATTTGTTTTCATTGTATGTCACCATGTGTGTGTGTGTATGTTGGGGGGTTATCAGAGAGTCCCTTGGGGCTGGTGGTACAGTGATATGGGCTAAGATTCCCGGCACGACACACACGAGAATGTACTCTTACCTGCCCAGCCTTCTCCCCAACCTTGTAAGTGTTTATTTAAAGGTTTGGTTGGGAAGTTTAACAAGCCATTTTGATTTTTTTTATTGCTGTTTGGTTTCTTGCTGTTTCTATTGCAAAGGGCAGTATTTACACACGAAAGGAACCTGCAGCTATCCAGAGAACATTTAGAAAACATTTTGTTAAATCACTTCAATAAAAACAATCATTTGTTGCCAATGATAACTTAGGACAAATTGCTTCAACCATTAAGGTATAAAGGGAAGTGAACACATGATAGCTTGATATGGTTTAATCATTTTTCAAGATCTGGAAATTTGTACTAAGTTAGAAAATATGTATCTTAATAGAAAGGGTTATTTTTTTAAGATTTTCATTTTATTTATTTTACTTTAATGCATGTGTGCCTGAGTGCATGCATGTACAGCACATGTCACAGAGGTCATGCAGTCAGAAGAAGGTCAGATGCCCTGGAACTAAAGTTACAAGCAATTGTGAGCTACCCAGTGTGGTGCTGGGAATTGAACCCAGGTCCCCTAAAAGTGCAGAAAGATCTAACTGATGAGCCAGCTCTCCAGTCTCTGCTGGAAATTTTGAGATTCAAAGTTAACACCCAATAGTCATGTACTTCTACAAGATTAAAGGTCATAGATGATAAATAAGCGGACTAAAATGCTGGAAGGATCCAGGTGACTAGTACTTGCTGGGGGATGCAGTCGTTGTATAGGAACTAAGTAATTGGCTAGTAGGGTAGTCACAAATACAGAGCATACATGCAAAATATTCTCATAGGGAATGTTCACATGCTGAGGACAGTTTAAACTAGAACGTAGGGAAGACATCTAACACAGTCTGAGAGCATGACTCCATCCATGCTGATACTAGAAAAAAAATCATCAATAGGGGAACTTACTAAAGCTATTTGGCCAAGAAAATATGGGAAAGAGAGTTTGCTGCCAAGTCAAGTCTTATATACACTGCATCTAAGATGGATTTCAGATGTCCAGACAGGTAAGAATCTGAGCAGTTAGTTGAGATGGGAGCCAGAGGCTACATGTGTGGAGATATTTTTACCTATGCAAGGGGGAAGGACATAAACAAGAGAGCTGAAGGGACCCACATTAAAATAATTCTTTCTTAGCAGGTAACACATTTCTGCCCATCTTGAGAAGGTCTGCTCTTTTTTTTTTGAAACTTCCCCGTTTAATACTACAAATATACTATTATAAAAAAATTTGATTTCATAAAAGATAAAGGTCAGGGGAGAATAAGCTCACTGTTCTAAATTAGCACATCATTAAGTAACCACTTAATGACCTTCTTCTGCATAATAAAAACAATAAATTTCCTAAAGTTGGGAACTGATCATACTTTCCAGAAGCACCCAGACAGGTAATGCTCTGAGACAGACAGGCATAAGCATCCCTCATCTAAAGGGTCTGGGGACCAGAAGTATTTCGGATGTTTATAGATTTTAGAATACTTGAATCCACATCATAGGATATCTTGGTGTCAGACCCACAAATAGACATGAAATTGTTGTATTTTCTAATCATGCCTGACCTGCAAAACTCAAAGGGAATTTTATGCCATATTTTTAGCATGGCTGTGTTTTGGCTGCAATCTGTCCATGAGAGGTTGGATGTTGAATTGTCTATCTGTGACATCAAATCATTGCTCAAAAAAGTTCATATTTTGAAGTATTTCCGCCTTGAGATATTTCTGACTAGAGGTAACATATGTGTGCTCTTAAATCACCAGATTTACCCACTAACACTTGTCACCACCCTGCCCAGCTGACACAGTGCACCCGGAAGAGCCACACCCTGTTACAGCTGTTCTAATCCAGCCGTTCTGACTGGCACTTGTTACCTCTCTGTCCAGCTGAGACGATGTGGTCGTGATCACACCCGTAGTGGGATGCATGGTAAACAAAGTGGGCGGCGAAGGCGACTGCTCCAGGATGGAGTACCGCAGCCTCGTGTGCATGGTATCAGGCTCGTCCCTGTCAGTCGCACAGACCTCCCCGACGACGGAGCCTGCGGAGGAAAAGCGGCCGTTGACTTTTCAAATCCTTAAGTGCGCTATGTCTCGTATTTCGCTCTCTTCTGCCTAGCTCAGAACCCTTCTGAAGCACCTTATTACAGACCAGGATCACCGCTTTCAGAAGTTAATTGCTATCTACACACAATAACACTTCCTGGTAAGTACGTTCACGTTCTGTTTTTGGAAATGATGATCCCAGCACTGATTTTCACTGTATTTTGGGGTGGGCTCCTATAAATGACTACACTGTCCCTCTGTGAATTCTGAATTCCTACTGAGGTTTTCTAATTACTCTTAATCTCTTTTTCCATTTGCAGGCCTGCGCTTGAATTAGGCAGTCCTCTCTAAAAATCAGTTCAGTCAAATCTTTCTAGGGTAAGTCCCCAAAACGTCAGCCTGACATCCCACCAATGCAGGCCTGAGAATAACAAGAGTGGAAAATTCTGTGTGTTGTTTTCAGTGGCTCTTGATCATGCCCAGAATCCTATTTGGTCATTAGGAGTTCAGTAGACAGGTGTCCAGGTGCTGAATGATGTCATTTACAGATTCCTTAGAAACTCCTCTTAGAAACATTTCATTGCCCTCTCACAGAAATGAAAAGTCATTTATTTCTTGAAGCAACGGGATTCATGTAGTCGGTTTGATAATCTAGTCTACAAAGAACCCATGGATGAGAAACTAAGAAATTGAAGCTTTCCAAATTGAGGAAATTAGTGAAGGAAAAGAAACCTTCTCCAAGGACCCGTGTTCTTGCCACCAGTGTGGAGGGCTTTCCTGTGGCCACAGAGACTCTCAGTTTATAAACCAGTACATCCAAGCCACCCTGGATCCTTGGTGTAGCAACTCACCAACTGCACTGCTTTCCAAAACTGTGAAACTGTATGTTGTCTTTGTAAAAATCGGGTGGTTGTCATTCTCATCCTCTACCTTAATGATGAGGGTCAGCGGGTACTCAGGCGTATACCCATCTGGAGTTGTTGCAAACGCCGTCAGCTGTGAAGAGAGTAAAATCATTAAAAAGTGAAATAATCTTTCGGCTCACTATGAAGATGTGTCTTTGCTAAGGTGTCTTCTGATTGGTTTAATAAAGAGTGGAATAGTCAATAGCAAGACAGAGAGAGGTTATGTAGGGCTTCGGGGGAGTCGCCAACCTGACAGAAAGGAAGCAGGACATGCAGGAGGAGAGGTAAATGCCATGAGTCACATGGCAGCATGTAGATTGATAGAAATGGATTGTTATGTTAGAAACAAGCTTAAACTAAGACCAGGATTTCATAATTAATAATAATAAGTCTCCATGTCATTTTTTTGTGAGCTGTAACCCAAAGAAAATCATCTGTGAATCATCTACAGAAAATAACCATGATTTGTTTTGTGTGGAGCTGGGGATGGATTTCAGGGTCTCACACAGGTCAAGCATGCTTTCCCCAGTGAGCTACACCTTCAACAACCCCTGAAATGACGCTTTCATCTGGAGACTATTGAGGCTTGGAGCACTTGCCTTCCACTGTTATTACTTCAGGACGCAGCCAAGATGGTGAGGTGAAAGAGACCCAGATTTCCTGTGTTAGTAGAATGTGTTTATATTGATCTACTATACTAATGTGCTTAGATTCCATTCCTCACCACTGCTGTATGTCATCCATAAGTATAATATTAGTTATTTTTATTAAAAATATTGATTTATTTTTCTGACAATTTTAGACACAGACTTTAAGTACAACTTTTAGATATTTCTTAATTTACGCTGCAAATTTTGGGCAAAATTAACTGAGATATTATTTTAATTTCTGTTAATATCTTAGGTACCACCATGGTTATATGTACAAATAACATTTTCTACAAATGTTTTTATTTGAAAAGCAGGAATTAGAAAGAGAACAAATGTGTGGTTACAGACACTGTATGAAGGGTACTAGCAGGGCTGAGCATGGCAAACACAGGTCCAAACATGGCAAACATAGTGCCAACAGGTCTTGCTTTTTTCCTACTTTCTCTCCTCTTTGCTAAAAACTATTAGGCTACATTCTTAAAGCTAGCCGTCAAAGTCCATTCCCTTATTTGATCACTGACTCATTCCTGAGACAGAACACTAGGGTCCAACAATCAAAATTTATTATCTGGCTAATATGTCCAATCAGGATTTACCACCTCACCCTAGCACAGACTCCCCCTTCTTCTTAAACACCCACTCTTGCAAAAACCACCTGCTTGCTGTTTGCTGCTGCTGCTTGGTTATCTGCCTCTGCCCAATCCAGAGTCCATCACCGCCTCCCATGCTTGGCCCTCGGGAGCAATAAATCTCTTTTGTGCTGAGAACATGGGGTCTGGGTATGCCCTGGATGGACTTGGGGGCACCACCCTCCCATACAATCTATTCCTTATAATTTTATAATGCATATTCCAAATCTAACCATTATATAACAGCTATCGTAGACACAGCAGAACATTATGTGTACTTACAAAGCCACACTGTAGCAATCCCCAACTTAAACTCAAAACTCATAGTTTGTTACAGTTAGCTTGCTTTCCTCGTGAATAAAGAATGACTCATCCAAAGTTGTATAAAATAATGAATAAGATAAGATGAGCAGGTCCTGCCTGGAAATCAAGCCAGCATGAGGTCAGGTTTTTCCAGGAAAACACATATTCCTGTTGGATTATATTGCTGGCTGGTTAGAGGTCGCAGTCTGCCATAGCCTGGCTGCTTTCTCTAAGCTCAGCAATTTGGAAACTCCCTCCCTCCACAGAAAGGTTTCCTGCTCTCTACCTGCCCTTATCTGGAATGTTCCTGGGCCCGGAGGACTGACTTTTTCTAAAAGCAGCTGCTTATCTCTAACCTAGATGGTGGCTCATCTTTATTCTGACCCTTGGCATAGATCCCTGCCCAAGGCTTCTGCTAAGGAGCTCTGCTATAGGACTCTACTGCAACATGCTAAGCCTTACGACAGGAGCGTGCCACTTAATGTAAATTAGGGCTTGTCTCCAGGTTCCCCAATCCTATACATTCCTTATACTCTAGAACAAAGTTGAGCTGATTCACCAAAATCTGTCTCCGGAGGGCTATCTCCTTTCATGCTCACGGGCCACATACAAAGGATTGTTGTCCCTTCTGCCTCTTTTCCCTCTGGACCTGGTGTCCAACAAGTCCAGAGGGAAAGAGGACCCCGCAGGAGAAATCCATGAAACATCTGAAAGAGTGACTGAGCTTTACTAGGGGCTGCTCAGCCCTGCTGGTCTCCCTGTAATCACCTCTCCCACTGCTAAGAGCTGAGGTTAGGCCAGCTGCTGAGATTCCTCAGCTCCTGCATCATCCCCACTCCACAAAGAGCTTCTCTAACAGACAAAGGAGCCGACAAAGTTTGCTCCATTGGAAAACAGGAAAAACAGAAAAAAAAATCCTAAAACCAGGAATAAACTAACAGAACTGAATTTTATTTATTCCATTGAATTTGTTTGTTTCAAGTCAATTCTGTCATCAACTGCAGCCAAAACACCAGTGAAAACCTCAGGGAATAAAGAAAAGTAGATAAATTAAGAGTGAAAGACACCATGGCCAAGGGTAATAACTGTTATGCTGGTTGAGTTTATGTCAACGTGACACAGGCTAGCATCCTCTGAAAGGAGGGAAACCCTGTTTAAGAAAGCGCCTCCATAAGACTGGGTTGTGGGCAAGCCTTTGAGCATTTCTTAACTAGCAATTGATGGCGGAGGACCCAGCCCATTGTAGGTGGAGCAATCATGGCGGGATAGTGTCCTGGGTTCTATAAGAAATCAAGCTGAGCAAGCCAAGATGACCAAGCCAGTAAGCAGCACCCCTCCATGGTCTCAGCATCATCTCCTGCCTCCAGGTTCTTGTCCTGTTTGAGTTCCTGTCCTGATTTCCTTCCATGATCGACTATCGTGTGGAAACAGAAACCAAATAAACCCTTTCCCTCCCCAGCTTGTTTGGCCAGAGTGTTTCATCACAGCAGTAGAAACCCAAACTACAACAACTGCTAATCCAACACTTGATTTTTAGGCCTTACCTCAAAGGACTCATACTGCTCACGATCCACGGGACCAGTGCAATACAGGTTTCCTGTATCTCTTTCTACATAAAATAAGTTTAGAGGTTCTCTATCAACTCCTGGGCCTCTGATGGAATAGTATATGGTGTAGTTTTGAGCGGAATCAGATTGGATCTAGAGAGTAGAAATTACAATCATGAGACATGTCTTTATTTCAGCAGAATTTGCACGGGTACTTTATGCTATCACACTGCCAGTTACTAGAATAACAACAGTCCCCTGTCTTATTCAGTATTAGAAAAATGCAGCAATAGAATGAGGAATTATGACTGAAAATTTTCAAAAAGTAAGACACTTTCAAAATTCTCTAGAAGAATCTTATCTTCTGAGTCAAGGTCTATTGTGAGAGCTGAATGTTATACACACGAACCAAACACTTGAGATTTCTCTGCGTTAGAAAATGCAGCAATACGAGCGTGAACGATTACCTGCGGCCACTCTAGTTAAGTCCTGAGATTAAGCTGTATTTGGCAAAGCATTTTAAAAACTGGTTTCACCAGGTATGGTGACCTATGCCTGTTGTTCCAGCACAGGGAGAGTAGAGATGAGAGAACTGGAGGTAGGGCCAGCTCGAGGCTACAGAACAAGAAATGTCTAAGCGGATAAGACAAACTCCAAAGACAAACATCACATTCTCCCTCGTTTATAAATCTAGACTGTATATATTTGTGTGTATGTATATGTGTGTGTGTGTGTGTATATATATGTATGTATGTATTTGTGTAAGTGTACATGTGCGTGTGTGCACCCGCGTGTGCTTAATCCTAACTCAATTTTAATTTTTGTTGAGGCATACATTTTTGGATTTTATAGACTGTGCCCCACCTATGTAATATCCTGTTGACTGGTAAAAATTAAAGAAACATGTTTTAGAGTGCTTGATGTTGAGCTTTACAGTTGTTATAGATTGCTTTTGCATGACTAAAGCTGAACACTGTGTACATGACTGACTGTTAAGGAATGCTTACACATATATGTTGAAACATGATACTTAAACTTTCCATTCAGATAGTCACATGCAACTATTTTACATTTTTTTAATTAGTAAAGATTCAATCAAGGTCTTGAGCATGACAGGCGAGCATTCTGGGATACATTTCCAGTCCTCACACAATTACTTTTAAATAGACACTAATTTTTTTAAATTGGAAATGATGAATCTTAGCAGCCAAAGTGAACCATACCTGTTGAAGAAAAAGTGGGAAGGGACCCAAGGAATTCTCCATCATGGAACAGGGGATAGGAGCCCATCTTCTCTTGGAACGACTGAGAACTTTCTCCGCATGCAGTCTTTTATTTAGTACCTTGATTCAGAAAACAAGAAAGATAAACTTTAATTGTTAAAATCCATGACAACTTCATCCACAGACAGAGCTGACGTGATATACTTGTCTCTTCTCATGAAGGTTGGGTAGAAAGTTGTAAACTCATGGTAGTGCTTCAAAACAAACAAATCTTCAATATTCAATAAATAATAACAATAATGGCAAAGAGTAAGACTGTTGTTGTTGCTGTTGTTGTTGTTGTTGTTGTTGTTGTGCCAGCCATCCTCTTAAAAAAATACCTTGGTGGAAATATGGAAAGCAGAGAGATGAGGTAGAAGAAGAGATGCAACACTGGAAAGCAAATTCTTGCTGCCACATTGCCATGCAAGAACACAAGAGGAAAGAGATGCAATGAGAATGGCAGGGATGGATGGCTTCACTCCCCTATGTAGCATAAGCAGAGTCCACTCACCAGCAGCTAGCCAGAGCCAGGAGACCAACAGACATCTGTCAGAACGAAGAAATAAATATGGTGACAGAGCTCAGATAGTTTCAGTGAATAATGACCAGGGACTGAGGAGAGGTTGCCTTGACCTTTGGTGTCACAGTCAATAGGCACATAATGTGGTCCAAACCTTCTCCCTTGTTCTCAGTCTTCTAAGACTCCAGCCATGCTAATGATACAGGGCAGCAGGACAGTAACCGCAAGGCAGAGCAGGAAATCTGTAGCTGTGTCCACGAGGCTGAGCCTCCTGATAGTCAGAAGCCCTTTTGAGACTAAGCATCTTAAGCCACAGCCTGATTTTTGTTCTTGGTATATTAAAAACTAAGGCACAAGCCATTCTGTCAAGCAGGTCCCTAGCATCCTCCATACCCAGACATCATCATGTTATCCCTTGGATTGTAGCTTAACCCTCCCGATCCCTGCCACACACTCTTTGTGTGGGCTTTCCTAGAGGATCATGGAAAGAAAACTTTTAAAAATATATGTGGTCCGTCATAACTTGACCAAAAATGGACCACCTTTCCCCCAGAGTATGGCACCCGTCTCACAGATATTCATAAATCTTCTTTAAGATCCAAACCACAGAATTCGCTGGGCTGCTGACTGCCTCGGAGCAGCCCAATCCATTGTCTCTTTGTGGTGTTTGTTTCCTTGCCTTGGGCTGTCTAAATAAACAACTGCTTAAACTCTCTTTGTCGTTTCGCTGAATTGATTTCTTCAAGAAGACAAGAACGAGAGAACCTTTTCACACTAATATGCATGAGGGAAAAGAATTTAATCAAGGTGTGGTAGTTTCCAAACTTGTTTTTGGGAATTCATTCCAAACACTGAAGTGTCATTCATGTCCTATGTCAAGTTCTTCGTGTAGCCTATCGCAAACGAAAGCAGTGACAACTTGGAATGACTTGTGTTGCGCAACCAACCCTCTTCACTCAACGCTGTTGAGCCACGGCTTTTGTTCTCCCCCCACCCAAACCACAAGTCTTCTCTGGTTCCACATCTTCCTTGGTGGCGTCAGTCAAGCCCAAAGAGCCCACGCCACTACATCTCCCGCATGCCACCTCATTTACCTCTACTGGGCCCTCTAAGTGGACAGACAGCTCTCTTTCTTCTTGGCTGTCCGTGTTGAAAAGCCATATAGTAAAGCTTCTTTGGCCCGAGGACAAAGCAACAGAATTGGTTGTGTACACAGAACCGTCTTCAAAGACTTGAAAATCAGGATCACTCAGATGAATTAGATTTGCCGATTTCAGGCAGTCCTTCAGGTTCACTGAGGAAATATACACAGGGGTAACTGAGCAACATATTGTTCAAAAGTATATACAGTATGCATGTGCAAGGGGTGCAAAACACGAAAATCACATTCACACTGGAATATTTAATACTTTTACAATGATACATGAAATGCTATGGTTAGGATCCTCCCTAAACATCCATATTGCTTCTAACGCTTGTTTTACACCTGTTTGAAGAGATAGCTCTTCTGAAGCGGAGACATGTGGACTCCAGTATTTGAACATTTGATACAACACTAAAAATAGGTTTTATTTCTTAACTAAAATTAGCTGTTAGAGACTACATGCTACCTGAATTAAAGTCGGCAGTTATTAAACTGAATACTACTGAAGTCTACACCAAATGTAAAATAGTTAACCTACTGTGAACCACATTGGGTTGATTTCTTTTTCCTTATATACCTAAGTCCTGTAAAGGATTGAGAGGCCAGTAAGACGTCAGGGGGTAAATCTCTTGCCCTCTGTGTGTGTTCTTGTGTATGCACACACATGCACATACATACTTATTTAATAAGTTACATAAGTAAAGAACTGATTAGTGTAAGGAAGTTCATGGGGCTAGAGATGCAGCTCGGGGTAAGCTGTTTGCTCAGCATGTGCGTTGGCTTGGGTTTGAGGGCCAGCACACCTAAAAAAAAGTGGAAGCAAAATGAAGTAAGACGTCAAACTTTTAATGATGAAAACCCAAGAGCAACACTTACAAACTCAAGAAATAACTTCAATATTGTTCTTCAAGTGCTTAGAAACATATTTAGCATATACAATATCTCCCATGTAATATAAATATCAAAAAATGTTATGATTTGAATTAATCTTCTTATCTTCTTTGGGTAATCCTATTCTTAAATAAAAATATGATATAATATGTATTAAAAATGACTGCACTGTTCGTTTTTAACTACTGATAATGAATCCCTCGTGGTCCTAACCGTCACAGTAACTTTTCACAAAGCATACCGCACTAGGGATTATCACACACTGCAGCTGCTCTTTACCTCGGCCAACAAATTTCTCAGCAGGTAGTTGAGAGGGAACCCGAAGGATCACTTCTTTACACGCGTCACAGGCAAGTGCAAGGATCTAGAATGAACAAATGAGTGTCATACACTCACAAGATCTTTCCAATGATTATGGAGTTTACCTAAGTCTCAACTACATAGTAATATCCACTTAATTACATAAAAGAAACATTAAATACTTAAGTATATGTATAGTTACACAAAATTCATTTGATTTAAAGTAATAAAATAAGAAATATGTACCAGAGTAAGAAACCTGAAATATGAGAAGGAGATGGACCACAGAATAACAGGTCCGCATGGCTTCCTTCTTTTACAAGGCACTTTACACTCAGGGAACCACATTCTTTCTTAGGACTGTTTTTATTTCGTTTTGTATAATGAATTTACTAGCATCTTGACTGCCTGGGACAGCAGAGTGAGGATCCAGCACAACATGTGTGAGACTGTACCAAACACACACAGGAAAGAGAAAAACCAAAACCGCCATCCCACCACACTTTCCATAAATGTTCAGCATCCCAGGAACTACAGAGACAAAGCCATAGTCTGCTGAACCAAACCTGGACACCATTGCTGGAAGGCACTGTGACTGCATGGGAGGGGTGGGCTTTATCCAGGTATCAGCTCACGCAAGCATGGGACCTTATTCGGAAGGCACAGCTTCTCATTGTTGTAAACTTTTTCTGTGAATGCTTCTGATAGATGTGTGTGCCATTTCCTCAGTTCATCAAATGACTGGCCAAAAGCAAGGAACCCAACCAGCACCTGTGCCACCAGCACCTGTGCCACCAGCACCTGTGCCAC